AAGTGAAAAGGACACAGCGAGAGTTAAGGTACTCCATCTCAGCAGGCTGGTCTTTCTCATCTTCCTCTTGTTTGCTGGGAAGGGTCACCTCCAGAGATTCTTGCATCTTGGCATACACTGCTAACTTCTTCTGGGATTAAAGAAAAAACACAACAAGAAAGTGGCAATCAATAGTGAAAGTCATTGGAAGCACAGAACCCCATGTCCTCAAAGAATCATTTTAAAGAAGCTGAAGCTTTATTTCATTATGTCTTGCGTAAAACTGGGCAAGCAAAGGAAAACGTTCCCAAACAGTCATTAAAATATTTGATCCTGTTATTAAATTGAAGAAATGTTGAAAACTTTCTACACAAGTCACTTAAAAGTATCACTTCCTCAATCCAAATTGTTCACTTTAGAACAGTTTCTTCCACCTCTACTACCTTACCCTGCAAGTACTAGCAGTATGGAAGTCAGGAGGGCTACATTTGGGATAGGGTGCTATTATATTAGAGTGAGGCAACAGAATCTGGTCCTTTGCAAGGAGTTTCATAGCACAAAGTAATGTCACTGACAGCAATGAGAAACCCAATTTTTTTTTAAGTCATGCAAGCCTGTGGGCCAAGCTTTTGGACAAAATACCAATGTGTAAAAACAGAAAAGTCACAATAATGACCCCAAATCAGAAATAGTGAAACAAATGATTGGGGGGAGAAGGGGAAAGCACTGGGAAAAAGACAATTACAAGAAATATATGGCATAAGCCTGTGAATAGCTAGTCCAAACCCTTTTCTCTCTCAAATCAAACTAAAATGTCAAAATAAATGTGTGTGAAGATCCATTTTGCATGGAACATATTTTTCAGATGTTCCACTTTACAACTGTTTTCACAGAAAGTTCACCACAACAGGCAGGCTGCAGCACCTCTCAGCCTCAGTCAGCCATTTCAATCCCCAGCTCTACACGCTCACAGCTTCAGCAAAACACGAGCATGAGTGAAGCATACATTCAATGAGCACTTCAGGACTTGACAGCTTCTTTTAAAAATACACCTCGACTCATCTTTTATTATTTGCTTGGCAACATTTTAGCACCATCAGTATTTCCACAAGTTCATAGCTTCTCCTCTTTCGTGAGTAGTTAGGTAACACATTTCTCATTCCTAAACAGGTCATAAGTTTTCTTCTATACAATAAGCATACTTGATTTATTAAGTATTTCATGTAATTGGCAGACTTCTACAATGTAGTGTACTATTGAAGCCCTCGACATTTGGCTGTTACAACATACACACAGTCACTGTGAAATAAGCTAGAAACACAAGAAAATCTTTTTAATAATAAATGATTACTAGAAGAGGCAGATAGTGAAAACTTGTTCATTGCAATAAGGCTAACTAATATTGCAATTAACAAACCTATGTACTTGAAATAGATTCATAGATTAGATTCATAGATTAAGGGTCGGAAGGGACC